GAGCTTTTATGTGTGCCAGAAGGAAGGGGCAGCTGGGTGCAATGTTGCTTTTCTGCTTATTCGCTTCTTCCTGTAATTCGTCTTTTACAGACACCAGCACAGTCAAAAGATCTTTTTATCATTAGTGTCCTGTTTGAGGTCACACACTTACTAGTGCATTCAAGATATGTGTTTTGATCATTTAGGCTCAGTTAAATAATATGTCACATTATAGCTTTATAAATATAATAATTATGTTGAGCTAAGAAAAAAGTGGAATTATTCTAATTAATTTTAATTAATGTAATAATACATGCTACCAATAAAAGTTATATTACTGATTTGTCATTCATAGTAAGGCAGCCTAAACAACAAGATAGCCAGTACTTTTAGTTGTGCTTTCTGAACAAACTTATTAAATATAATTTTAAAATTCATCCTGCCTGCCAAAGTTAAAACATCCTTCAATGCAAGATCATTAAAACAGCATATTCAGTACAAATATTTCTTTATTTGTGTGAAACACAGTGTCAATTATTAAACCCATAAGTCCTTGCTTTGTGCAATTAGCAGAGAATAGGGAAATTTTTGTGCTCTGCTGTTGCTTGGCAGAAGTACTCAGTCTTGGAGCTCTGTAGCTTACTAAAGTTAATGAATAAAAATGGATTTGTACTTAAACTCTTAGCAGTTCATGGCAAGGTTTTAGTATGTTATAAAATCTAAAATTATGGCAGAGTATGTGAGCAGCATTAATGAATGGACTGATCTGCTTTCACTGAAAAGCAGGGTCTTGACTTTGATTAAATAAGGCTTTAGTCCTGCAAATATTTCTAGTAGCTATGAAAAGTAGTTTTCCTTTGTCAGGAATTTGTTCTCATTTCTGTTCTTTCAGTTTGCATAGGCAGTAAAAATAAATTATATTCTATTTGATAATATTTGCATACTAAGAAGAGAGGCAATGTAGATCAAATAGACTGACAGAGTGGACGGTCCTTTCAGCAGACCTTTTTGATGCTGGAACCCAAGCTTCCTGCTGCCAAAGCACAGTAAAACTGCTACCCTACCATGTAATAGGTAGGCATCTGCAGCACTGCTGCTTGCTATAATTCAGACACTGACAAATGTATTTTGTAATGGTCCAGATCCTATCAGTGTGATAACAGTGATAAGAGCAGACCTTCCAGGTTGGACCTGCCTCCCACAACTCTGGATCTTGGCTAGCATCAATGGGATTTAGCTGTTTCTGCAGTTTTGCGGGAGGCATGGCAGCAAATCTGAAGGCATGTCTGGAACAGTTGGGTAAATTAGGAGTGAATTCAGTCTATGGCTAGCATCAGAGCAGGAATTACAGATTAAAGTACAGACTGAAATGCCTAGTTCTTCCTGGATTTGGACTTGGCTTGTTGGATGATGTCTGGTGTTCAGAACGAAAGCACGATGCTGTAATGTACTTAGGCTGTTTTCTCCTTCAGTGATTTTCGTTTTTCTTGCTTTCTATAGACTAACTGAAAGCAGTAAATCAAAGATCTGTCAATATTTTTTATTGGCAGGTTTGTTCATGGTCATCAGTTATATACACAGAAGAGCAGAGAAAGCAAAAAGCTAAAATCTCATAATCATTCATCAAGTAAATTATGTTTCCTTACATTTACTTGTTCTGGAGAAGATACAGAATGTTAGAAAAAATCTAGTGTATTATAAAGAAAATAGAAATCAGCATGATCTTTTATGAGAGATTCATATGTGAGGTGGGGTTAGTTTTGCCTTATCTTAAAACCACGTAGTTTATTGGGAATTCCTATACAACTCATGGGGGCCCCCACAAGCAAACAAACAAAATGAACAAAACAACAAAACATATAAGCACAAAATTCATTTGCTTAACTATTTTGTAATTGTTTGTAAGGCCAAAACCAAAAGCCTTATCATAATTAAAAAGTGTTATGCTTATTTGAGGTTACAGTGAATAGCATATTCCACGTGCTGTCATTGAGGGTAAAGGGTGTCCACTCTTTTTCTTTGCTTTAGGCTTCATTCTTTTGCTTCATTTAAGCTTCTGTATTTTCAGTTTAGAGGTTGTTGAGAATTAATTATGAAATATTTCTGATGGGACTTGCTTTTTATTAGCACCTTTGGAAAACTGGCAGGAATTCCTGGAGTGACCTTTCTGCCCAGCAGCTTTTCAAGCACTCTGCCCCAAGCCTGTATTGCTACATGGGGTTACTGTGGTCAAAGTGTGGAACCTGGCACTTGGCCTTGTTGAACCTCATACAGTTGACCTCCACCCAGGTCGATCCAGCCTGTCCAGATCCCTCTGGAGAGCATTCCTACCTTCCAGCAGATCAACACACTTGCCCAACTTAATGTCATCTGAGAAGTTACTGAGGGGGCACTTGATCCCCTTGTCTAAATCTTCAATAAAGATACTAAACAGGACTGGCTCAAATACTGAGCCTTGGGAAACACCACTAGTGACTGGCCACCAACTAGATGTAGCACCGTTCACCACCATTCTCTGGACCTGGCCATCCAGCCAGTTTTTTACCCAGCAAAGAATGCACCTGTCCAAGCTGTGGGCTGCCAGCTTCTCCAGAAGAATGCTGTGACAGACAGTATCAAAGGCTTTACTGAAGTCCAGGTAGACTACATCCACAGCCTGTTCCCTCATCCCCTAGGCAGGTCACCTGGTCATAAAAAGAGATCAGGTTGGTCAAGCAGGACCTGCCTTTCCTAAATCCATGCTGGCCAGGTCTGATCCCCTGCTTGTCCTGGATGGTGGAGTATGCTTTTATTTACCTGACAGTTTGATTTTGTTTAAAGCCAACTGCTGACCATTAACTTGCTTTTCATTATATCAGTACAACTGAAACAATTAAACACACTTTATATGCATAAAAAAAAAATATCTCTTATTATCTTATTATCACTTAATATCAGATATTTAGAGTCCACCAAAAGATGTTATGAGCTATGAAAGCTGTATCTTGGTTAGCTGAAATCAGATGGAGTAAACTTGAAAAAATATGTGATATAGGAGCAATTCTTATGCCATTAAGAATTGATTTAATATTTCTTAGTCTCATTTAATTGCTATCAGAAATGACCACAGTCATGAGTTATTTGGCTGAATGGACTATTGTAGTCTAGTTATAGTCTGTCAGTCTGAAAGCCATAAAATTAATCCTGGTCACTCACATGTGAAATTCAGCATTGCAAAGCAGTCAGCTTTAAGGCTGCATACTCTAAATTGTGAAAATGATTTTTAAATAGGTCCTGAATTTTTGATCTGCAAGTAATAGGATTGTATTTTCTGATGTGGTTTTGTGTGCACAAACATTTTTCACATTTTGCATATAACATAAAATATTTGCTCTGCTTTTCAAAATATATTCAGTTGCTATAAAATAGGAAATACTACATAGGGAAGAAAGTAAAGAAAACTAAATCTAACCACAGGAACTCTCTTTTATTCCATTGGGGATAAAAATGAGTGGAAATGGAAAAAAAAAAGAAAAAATGGCAGACTTTTATCTTAAAATGGCTCAGTGTTTAAAAGAGTAGCAACTGGACTTTAGGAGCTGATATATTTCTCTATAATCTTGTTTACTATTAATTTATTGGTTACATTATTTAATGCCTGTAAAATATGGGGACATGTTGCCCATTGCCATGACTTGTCATCATTCCACTGAAGTGAATGGAACTAGCTGAAGATCTGCCAAATGTTTGCTTTCTGTAAGCTCTGAAGTCTCTCCTTCCTCAGCATAGCACTAAAAAAATTGTTTCTCTTCCCTCTTATTTAAGTGTTCTGCCAGCATTTTTTTTCTTCACTCAAACCTGCATGCATGTTGTAGGATTAAAGTGTACATCTAGGTGAGGTTAATTACCCTTAATTACTCAGATTCTTTGAGATCATTCCTTATTTCTATATGCAAATACAAGATTATTTCTGCACTTCCAACACTGTTGAATTTATTTATTTAGCTTTTTACACCCTTTGGTGTGTACCAACCACTTCACACCACTTATTCTCCTCATGCACTACTCTGTCTGAGCATCTCATAGATGGATCACCTTTCTTTATTTGTTCTCCATAACATTCTCTAGGTCTCCCATTTTCCTCCTCCTGAGAGGGGATATCTGCAGTCTGATCATTTATTACTTTATTGGTAGTGTCAACAGGACAGAAGAAACTTCCTTTTTTTCTTTGACAGATTTGCAATCTAGACAGTGTATAAGCAGACCAAAGGATGTAGGGTATAGAAAGCACGACTGATGGGAGAAGTCTAGCCAGTAGTTATTCATACCATGACTTTTGTTGGCTTTTAAGGCTGTTTCTTGGGAAAATACTTTGTCCTGTACATACTCACAAATGTACATTGCTTAATAACTTGCATCTTCAACTTAATGTATTGAAAACATAGTGAAAGAAGGAGAAAGGCATGTGTGACGATACCCATTCCTTTTCCTCTCTTTTCTTTTCTCCTAGATCCCAATATTGTATTAGGCTTATCAGAGGTGTTAACGTATTTGGTACTCTTTTGCCTCCCACATCTCCAAGGCATATAAATCTGTTCAGCTCTATCACCTTCGTTGATATTTCCAACATGCAAC